CATCATTTGTGGTTCACATGTGAAGTCTGGACTATGACTAGAAATATGGGAACAATGAGCAAATAGATGTTAAACAAAGCCATGTGCATGGATGAGTGACCCTGGATAAAAAGAAACGACTTCTCTCTCTGTATGTATTCTCTGGTCAGTAAACTTTTATTTGAACAGATGTTCTTCCACAACATTGTTTCTTAAGCTTCTCTCTAGAAAGAACCTGTGTTGTTCCTGTCAAGCTGTCCATCAGAGCAACGCAATTATCAGAGTCAACGGGACTTTCTTCTGAGACCCCCAAGACCTAGTGTCCTTGAGGTAGCAAGAGAAATACAGAACTTGGTGCTGAAGTTAGATGAACACCCACTCCTCAACTTTTCGCCCCCTACCTCCCAAACAGCATTGTTCCCACAACTTTGTGAAAGCTGCTCCTGAAATTTTTGAAATTCATAATTAAGAGCCTGCTAAGTACAAAATGGAAAACCGTCTTCTAATAATTCATGACAGATCGGATTTATTTTAGAGTAAAGAATTTATGGCCTATGCCAGGAAAGTCATATACAAATAAATTATGTATGCCTTATTGCATTTAGAAGACAACAGTCAAAGGTTTACTGGCCAGTAGAAGGGTCACCACACATCCAAAGCATGGGGATCAGCCATGCATATTAATGAGGAGGCTCTGGGGACTCATTCATGCTAACCAAATTCAACCATTATAGTCTGTAAGTTTTGAGAACAATTCCAAAGTGTGCATGTGTCAGGGAGTGGGAGAGGGGGTTTCCCCATTCATAACACCAAGCAATTCTTGAACATCAGCAAGGTGTCCCAGAACTGAACTCAGTTCTGACACTACCTACTTGGAGACAGCATCAGATTTCCCAGGTTAAGGGTTCATTCCTACAAGACTGTTCCCTCAACTCCCCACCTCAGATGCCCGTTGCAAGCCCCAGGCTGTGACCTGTGCTTCTGAATGACCTGCTATAAATTGGAGGGTCCAAGGATCTCATCCTCAGGTTCAATTAATTTGCTGCAGTGAATCACAGAACACAGGAAAACACTCACTTACATTTGCCAGTTTATTAAAGGATATGATAAAGGCTGCAAATCAACAGCCAGGTGGAGACACATAGGGTTAGGTTTGAAACGAAAGCACGTCCATCCTCATGGAGCTTGTGTCCTCTGGGGCACATGGACGCCTTCTGGTTCCCCAAGTGCAGAAGCTCTCCAAAAAAAGGAGAGAAGGGGGAAAAAAGGCAAAAAGCTGTTCTCTTGGGCTTTTATGGGGCCTTCATTACATGGCTGTGATTGACGAAAGCATTGGAATTGTCTGGTTCAAGCTGCAGCTCTTCTCCCCTTTCCTTCCTCCTGGGGGTGAGAATGTGGAGTTGGGGGAGATGGGAAGTTAGGGAGGGTACAGGGTGGGACTGAAAGTTCTAACCCCCGATCACATGTTGGTCCTCCTGACAATCAGTCTCACCCTTTTGGGGGTGGCGGGGAGCATCCATAAATCTCATTAACATAAGACACCCATTTCATCTTTATGGCTCCAAAGTATTTTCAGGAAGTGTGGATGAAGACCAAATACACAAAAGAGATATTGAGATACTTTGTGGTTATCTAAGTAACCAAATATATGTTTCTTATAAATCATTATATTGCAAATAGATAAATCAGAATCCTAACTTATGCATTTGTATTGAGTTATAAATAGACATGTTGATTGGTATACAATGTTGTGTTGTACAGAAAGGTCTCTTTGGGAAACCAAATTATTAACCAAAATTTGGTTAGTGAATACAGGGGATATTTTCCAAAATTACTTGATGGAAACCCAAGTTTCAAGTCATGTTAATGAGTATTATGCCCCCACAACTTGATCACCAAAAAAGGGTTTGGTGATCAAGCAAATTTGAACAATTAAACAAAGTAGAATGAATCACCCCAAAACTCAGTGGTTTACTAGCACTCTGTTATGTCTCAGGGTTTCTGTGTGTCAGGAATTCAGAAAAGGCTTGGCTGAGTAGAAGCCAGGCTCTCTCATGTAGTTGCTGTGTTGTGACGTCTGGGATTTGGAGTGCTAAAGGCTTGAGCAGATGGGTGCTGGCTAGTCCTGTCTTTCACTTTTAATGTAGCCTCAATTCTCTAGGTGGTCTTTCTATGTGGGCTGGTTTGGGATTCCTCACGGTGGGGCAGCCTCATGTGTTTGGACTTAGGGTTTTAGCAGGAGTATTTTCCCAAATAAGGTGGAAATTCTTTCTTTTCTGACCCACCCTTGAAAGTCGTGCAGTCATCCACTGCCTTTTTGTTGGTTGCAAGCAAGTCACAAGCCTGCCCAGATTTTAAGGGGGAGGAACAAAGATCCCGCTTCTCAATGGAATGAGCGTCAAGGTTACATTACAGAACAGTGCTTAGAATGTGAAATGATGTTGCAGCCATCTTTGGAAAACATAATGTGCCACCCTAGCTGTGTAACAGTGGTCACTTTACTGAACATCTCAGAGTCTCCATACCTCACGTTAGGGGAGGAGAAACAAAACAAAAAACAAACAAACAAAAAAGGCTTCATAATTTTGGCCTCTACAAATCCACTGTAATAAAAGAATAGCTGTTGAATACTTGTATCAATCAAGGTGGACATAAATATCTCCTTCTTTGCCTCCAAAGTTTATTTCACTTTTCTATTTCTGTATTATTAACCATTTTGATCATGTGTATCTCATTTTTCCATGATTTAAGTTGCATCTTTATGCCAGGGGTAGAGTGTAAGGAAGAATTAAGTTAACAGCTCTCAGATCTCCCAGTGAGTATCACAAGCCCGGACCTCTCACCCAAACTCCAGGCCAATTGAACTGACTGTTCAGAACTAAGGTCCTGACATGACCCCTGTAAAGGGTTGTTATGATCTTCCTGCAGCAAAGTTGCAGGGATTAAGTCTGAACTGCTTGTTTTTGATGCATTCTGAACTGCAAAATGTACTTGAATCTCAGACGTACTTGCTCTTTGGCTCGTGTGGTCCCCAGAACCAACTAAAAACTAGAAATGTTTATTCTTGGAATCACCCAGATCTACTGAATCAGAATTCTGGAGAGTGAGCCCAACAATCTGTGTTTTAACAAGCCCTTCCCATGACTCTGCTGCACATTCAAATTTGAGAACCACTGGCTTAGGCCATCTGTTTCTGAGATCTGAGAGCTGTTAGCTTATTTCTTCCTTACACTCCACCCCATATTTCTTTCTCATTCCCCTTTTATTGTGACCAACTGAATGGTGTGTAAGCAATAAAAACTCTTCTAACTGCCAGTAGACAGAGAATAATCCCATTCATATGCATCTCTTGTTGCAACCCCCCCAAAATAACTTCTTCTTTTTCTCCTGTTTTCTGGTAGGACCTTTGACATCTCAAATTTGCTATATTCTTGGACTTCTCTGTCTCAGCTGATAACAACCCCATCCTTCTAGCATTATTAATGTCTCTTTCACTCACATCCCAATCAAATCCCCTAGGGAATTCTGTTTGCTGTACCCTTAAAATAGATCCAGACCCCCGCTGCACCTCTGCTACCTGCGATTATCTCCACTGTGTCTGCCCATGCCTTCCTAAACTATTCTCAACATAGCAGTCCAGGTGGTCCTTCTGCAACGTAAATGGGATCACATCACACCGTTACTCACAACCCTGTTAATACACCCCATTTTCCGTACAGTAAAAGTCGAAATCTTTACCGTAGCCTCCATGGTGAATATGTGATCCACTTCTGCTCCTTAACTCTGACCTTCTCACCTACCTCTCTGCTGCAGACACACTAGCCATCTTGCTGTTCCTGCCTTAGAGGAAAATGGAAACAGCCTAAGGGCTTTGCATCTCTGCTGCAGATGGGAAAAAGAGGGACCCATCGGACAGGAAGTGGAGCTCGAACCCTAATGAAGGGAGCACTGAAAGACTACTGCAAAGAGTCCGAGATAAGCCTAAAGCAGGCCACACTGCAGCCATTTCCACCGGAGCTACACTGGTCAGGCAGAGAAATAGGACAATCTTTCTGTTCTGCCCACTTCCTGTGGGCTTGTTTCTATTTTGCTATTGTTTAAACACATCTGACTTTGCTTAAACAACAAAGATGGTTTTGAGGGCTCTGTTCCAAGAGAAACTGAAGTAAGTACTCATTCGGTGGCCAACTATAAGCCATGGGAAAAAAGATGAGAGAGATTTTATTATATTGAAGGAAACCTCAGGTGCATGGGGCTCAGTCTCCTGGGGGTGTTACTAAATTCTCATGGTTTACATCTGGAATGGGATGAGTTGAGAATATGAAGATTAGGACACTCATCTACCATTTGGAGCTTGCTTTTTGGAAGAGCAGAAGCAAATCAAGGCTGTGATCAGTGCCAGAACTGAAGAGCACAATTTACAGCCCTTTCGTGGAATAAATGTAAGTTTTCATCCAGTATTTCTGGAATTTCTACCTCGCCTTAGTCCATTTACATACCAATGGAGGTTTACCACAGAGAGTCCATCCAGGGCAAGGGGTAAAGAGAAAACCCTCATTCTCTTCTCCCCTCCATTCTCGGCACCTAATTGGTCTGGTGCTCGCCAGTCACCAAACCCGCCCACGGAGTTCCTGCCGGAAGCGGTGGGCGAAGGAAAGAGCCCATGCAGAGGGGCTGCAGGGGCGGACAGCGCAGGGCCTGGGGAGCAAACCCGAGCAATAAACCCACTGTGAGAAATAAGCCCATTGAGGCCAAACTCTCCTTCCCCTTGTCTTACTTTGGTTTCACTAGATTCACAAGGAATTCGTTCCAGGTGCGGAACCCCCCTTCCCTCCGGAGCTACACCTTTCCAACACTCTCATTTGTTGTGTTGGTCTCAAGCCCAGACCTTTGCTCTTGGAGCCTGGTTCTTGCTATAAGCATGAGCACGTCCAGCACTGTGGAACTTTAAGTGGCAGGGAGTGTCTCTCTCTCTCTCTCTCTCTCTCTCTCTCTCTCTCTCTCTCTCTCTCTTTCTCTCTCTCCCTCTTCACCCCAGCCATCCAACATTAGAATTTCAAGTCACATCAGTTCAGTTTACATTCCAAGAGTAAAGACTTCGGCTCTCTAGGTCAGCCTAGCAATTTTTCCCCCTTTCCACTTGTGTGATATTTTCACTCAGTGAAAGAATAAATACTTACCTTTTTTAAGCCTTCTTTTTATCCCCCTCAGGTTTGGGAGTCTGCAACTTGCCTCTTCAAACACCACAGCTGCCGATGTTGGTTCCCTATGGCCTTTAGCTCTAGAATCATGGACAGTTTCTGACCAGGGACTCCGAACTCTTCAACAACATGCACCAAAGTTTCATGGGAACCCACTCAGTGCCAGGTATGCTGTTAGTCGTAACTGTTAAAAATACAAGAGTTCACAGTCTAGTGGGGCAGTCAGATGCATAAACATTGACAGATAGGACCGTGGGAGGGTGTTAGAGATGTCTGGGAAGCAGGGTTCCCCACGCAGCCCAGGGAGCAGGGCAAGGAGACCTCGAGCAGGAGACGCTCCCACCAAACTGGAGTGAGTGACACACAGAGAGGACCTGGCAGGTTACCCAGTTACAGCCTCATTTCAGGGCAGGTTGCTAACTGGCTACAAGCCCTCACATCCTTTACTTCTAAAAGGATCCATCAAGACCTCATTAAGTAACCAAATTTTCTGAAAAATATATATATATATTTGAAAAATACGTTGGGGCTGGAGTTGTACAGTGTGTGGGTTTGTTTCTTTGTTGTCCTTAAGGAAAGGGAGGTAGGTGGGTTCCGACAAGCTCCGTCAGCCCACTGGGATTCCAGTGTGGTTACGGTAGGATCTGAAATCTGTGCCCTGCAACGTGAATATATTTAGCTTCTTTGTATCTAAGTGATAACAAGGGAAATGTGTGCTTTGTATCCTGTGCACCTAGCACAGAGTTGGTGGGTTTTCAGTATCTGCTCTGTTGAATGAATGATTACCTTGGCACCCTTTGATTATTTTTTTCTTCCCAGTCAAGAATGTTCATTCATTATGACAGGCTTTCTCCAAACACACACACAGACCAACACACAGATACAGACAAGCACACACAAGCTAACCCTTTGCTAAAACAATTTAAATACTTGCTCTCTCCAGAACATTTTTCCTGACTCTTTCTAACCTACATTAGTCTTTCTCTTCTTGGAATTTTTGTTAGTCATTAAGTCATTATTAGTATACTGTCTCTCCCCACAGTCACTAAACACATACACACAGACTCAATTTAGAAATTTATATATTAAGTTTTGTTCTCTAATTGTTTCATCTGTAAATTTCTTGTCCCTCTGATGAGATTAAGCTTCTTGAAGTCAGGAACCTAGTCTCAAATATATTCTCATAATCCCAAAGCACCTTGATAAGGTAGCAATGTAAACTTTATTAACTTCATACTGTCAACAAAAAGAATTAACCTTTCATCTCATCAGCAGATCTTTTCAGCAAATATTCCCTCTACATAGGCACATTCCACTGTAGCCATCATACCTACACACACCCACACACACACACACATGCACATACACGCCACTCTTACGTAGCATTCAGATCTTCAGCTTCTGCTTACACAGCCTTAATCTACAAGAAATGCCCAGAACATGCACGCACATGTTTCCACGTTAAGCCCATCTCCCATATCATTATACAACTGTTTAACCGACTATAAAATCAGGTATTTTTTAATGTATTTGGACAACACCCATTGTAAGTTTAATAGCTTCCTACTTCACTAATGAAACTTTGAGTCAGAGAAGTTCAGACATTTAATCAGGACATTGTAGGATAATCCACAAAGGCTGGTAAAAAGAGCTTACACCACTTTATTGTCAAATTTGTTATGTTTTTTGAATGCTCTCATTCTCTTTAACATTCTAAAATTCAACATTTTACTGATGAAATGCAATTTCATATGAAGAAGTATAAAATAACTTTTTATGGACACATTATAATATCTGACTACATTCTGAAAACTGTAAAATAGTACACAAATATACAGTATTATGTTTCCAAGAAAGTTCAGTATCCCCAACAAAGTCTGCCCATGAGAACTGAGCAAAATTGAACTTACCTGTGAAATGTTATCCTTCATTTTCAGTGAGATATATATACGAAGATTGAATTGATTGGAACTATCTGTAAAGTTGCAGGTGATATGCTGACAATAAATCATAAAATAAAATGGTCTAGTCTCCTACGGGAAGCTGAAATATTATAGCTATAAATTATACATGAATATATAATACCTGAATTAATAATCCATATACATTTTTACAGAATACTCCTTGGATAAGAACTTTGTCTTGGGTTGGTTTTATTAGTGAATTAGGAATTTTTAAAAACCTAACTAGCATTCCTCTTGCCACCATTCAGTAAAATAAAATGGTTTTCAACTAGTTAAAACAAATGAATGAAATATCCTTTAATCAGATACCCCCTGATTTGGTCTGGGGATGAATGCTATACCTCTAGTCACACCTTGTTATTTACATACTATTGTTTCTACTTACAGAATTTCCTATTTTAAGGAGAGAAATAATCTCATGGCTTAAACAGAGAATTAGTATGACAAAATCTGAAGGGCTATTTTATCACCCTATGGTGAGGTGAGGTTGGGGTTCTTTCTGGTCCTTCTTGGTTCATGGTAACTAATGTTCATCGTGGATGTTATTATCATTAGCCTGGATTGACATGAATGTTCTCCCCTTCGTAATGAATTGTATATCCTTAATTGCTGAGGCTTTGGAGTGTGTGTGTCTTACAGTGGAAGTGATCATAGCAGATATACTGACACATACAGGGAGCACTTCCAGCTGTGCCTCGGTTTTGTTGATCTCTGATTCCCAAATCTCGTACAAGATCTCAACCCCTGACTGAAACACAGGGCACCTCGCTCAGGTGTCACAATGCTCACTGGGGTGCCCAGTGTAGGATGAATTGCCAGAGCTGCCAGCCACAGAGAGCCTTGAGGTCTGCTCCCCAGGTTAGTTGCATCCTAAGTCAGGCTTTCCCAATCTGTCCCTTGATCACTAACCCCAAGACTCAAGTCATCTGGCAGCTGGAGTTCCTTCTACATATCAAGCAGAAATTGTAAAACTAGTGGCTTCATTCCAAGTGACCTGGTCTAGATGGATCTTTGCAGACTCTTTGACCTCTTCTGCCTCTGCCCGATATTACCCAGCAAGTTTACCAAAGTTATCTTAGCTCTCCTGGATGGGGCAGGAATGGTACCTTCGAGAATAATAGGCATAATTCTAAACTTTTGATTCATGGCAATTAGATTTCTTTGCAAAGGCATGATTCCCCAAATCTCTCCCGTGGTCAGAATGTATCTGTAAACCAAGAATGCATTTAGCCTCTGCACTTGTGTAACCTAGAGCAGTTTGGCATTTATGTATTCACTAGCAAAGAAGCAATGGTCTGTGGGGCAGACTGAAATTGTCTGTAACATCCCAAATTTAGCCCTTGCTTGGCGGACTGGGTTCCTTAGATCAAGGTTCCTGATGGCACAGTGTTTCTAGAACACTTACTAAGTGACTGTAAATCAGCTCGGAGTGGTGCTCCCCTTCAAATTCATCAAGAAAGAACGCATGTCTCCTCATCCATAGGCTCCCTCTCTGTTTCCTTCCTCCATTGCTGCAGAAATCCCCAAGCAAAGCAACCTGCACTCAGCTCCTTTGTTCACATTTGGGCACATTTTCGGGGACAAATAGGTGAGACTGCACCAAGCCTCTCAGCCTCTGTCTCACCATACATGGGGCACAAAGGTCTGGGAGGGGAGGAGGAAGGTGCCCTCCAGCACAGTAGTGGCCATAGTGCCGTGACAATATACAGTTCAGGTTAAACTCAATGCCGCCACTGTGGTCAGACCTGCTAGTAGAGCTCAGCCCAGCAAGAGTATCTACCAGTTTCTCAGAGACGCCAGGCTCAACACAATGTATCTCAGGTAAGTAACATTATGTGCAATGACTGCAAAGATCTATGTCTTTTTCAGACCTTGAAAGCGGACTGGTACTAGATAACAGTTGGTTGGTACAGTTGAAAAATAAGTATTACTTGGCATCCACTGATAGGCTCACCTGATACGTGGTAGGCAAAACATAATTATTTCAATGTTCCTCTCCTCTGGTTTACAGGTCCCGTGTAATGCCCTCCCCCTGTGTGTGGGTGGGACCCGTGACTCTGATGGGATGTCCCTCCCATGAAAAGGTAAAGAGATTTTGCAGATGCAGTTAAAATTCCAAACTGGTGAAGCTTGAGTTTATCACAGGAGAGATTAACCTGGGTGGGCCAGGTTTAATCAGGTGGGGGTCCTGGAAAGAGGGACTGGACCCTTCCTGCTCTCTTGCAGGTCTTGAAGAAACAAACAGCCATGCTGGGATCTGCTTATGGAGAGAAGTGGCTTCTAGGGGATGTTGGCCCTAGTCTTTCAGCAGCAAGGAACCAACAGGATAAAATGCTGGGAATCTGAAGTTTGCCAGCAACCTGAATGAGGCTGGGAGAAGTCCCTGAACTCCAGAGGAGAGCACAACCCAGTCATCGCCGCTTGTGAGAGATAATCAGTTGTAAGAAAATAAGTGTGTGCTGCTCTAAGCAGCCAAGTTTGTAGTCATTTGTTACACAATAATAGAAAACTACAAACAGTGTGTAACTCTTTTTCTATTTTAATGGATACACTTCCCTAGGGTCTCACCAGAGAAAGACCTGATTGAAATTTTATAGTCCATGTGAGAGGGTTTAGAGCCTGAGACACTGATAGAGATTTGAACCATCTGCTTCTCATTTCCATCTGAGGAGTACAGAAGACCACCCCAGTTTCCCAGCCACATCCACCACTCCTAATTTTTCCTCTGACATTAGGAAGGAATCCTCTCAATTTGCCAGCATGCACTTCCTCTCTTCACTGGTAAGCAGAAGAGGGACAATATATAGTAGTAGGGAGAGGAGGAGGTGAGAGATGGCCCTAACTCCCTTCATCTTCATAAAAGAGAGCCTATAAATTCCCAATTCTAGCCATAAGACAGCGGGCAATAACTAGCCCCTCTACAGTCATTGCCAGCTTATTTATCAAGAAGGAAATCTAAACTGAGATACCATTCTGCTTTTTTTCTTGTTCTTGATAACCTTAGCTTTGCTTTGCTTTCAGTCTAATTTTTTGCAACAACAGGGAGAATTGTAGAGGGCACACATGCCTCTCCAGCTTTCTACAGCTGGTGAGCTGAGCCCAGGCCTTCATGAGCAACCACCAGAACTTATTTTGGTCTTTGTTGATTTATCTAATCTCAACTACCTTACCTTAGAAAATTTCTCTGGCTTTATAGTAAAGTTGGAAGTTCTTTTATCTTTCTTCTGCCTGGAGATCAAGCTATTGGAATGTTTCCCTCCATGGTTTATACACTGAAGGTTTATTTCAGAATCAACAACCTGTCTTGCCTAGGAGCTGCCTTCTTTTAAATGCATCATGAGGTGGGACTTCTATGCTTCCTAATGCTGGCCTGCCTTTTAAGTTGCTGAAGGATTCTAGTCCTGTGATGTCACCTGTGTTAGTCAGAGTTCTCCAGAGAAACTATGAATAGGATACAGGTAGATAGATGGTATATAAAAAGAGAGATGATAGATACAGGATAGATAGATAGATAGATAGATAGATAGATAGATAGATAGATAGATAGATAGATAGATAGATAGATAGATAGATAGAGATAGACAGTAGACAGACAGGAGGGGAGATTTATTGTAGGCATTGCCTTGTGCAGTTATGAAAGTCATGAAGTCCCACTGTCTGCTGTCTGCAAACTGGAGAACTAAGGAAAGCCAGTGATATAATTCAGCCTGAGTCTGAAGGTCTAAGAAGAACCAGTGGGTAGCTGGTGTAGGTCCTGGAGTCTGAAAGCCTAAGAAACAGAAGCTCCAGTATCTGATGGCAGGAGAAAATGGCTATTTGATCCCAAGAAGAGAGTATTATCCCTTCCCTTTGCCTGTTTAGTTCCATCCGGGTCCCCAAGGTCTTGGGTGATGTCACCCCTCATGGATAATTGCAGATCTCTTTACTCAGTCCACTGAATCAAATACTAGCCTCTTCCAAAAACTGCCACAGACACACCCAGAAATGATTTTTTACCAGCTGTCTGGGTATCCTTCAGGCCAGTTAAGTTGACACATCAAATTGACCATCGCCTTCCCCTAGTGGTTTCAATCCACAGTTCATCTTCTTCCCTTAGCACTGGCCCTACTTTGTCCACCAAATCCTGTACTTGAAGTGTCATCTAGCATCATTTACTCTATTGCTCTCCCCAAAACCAGCTCTCCTGTTGGCTGGGATTCATCCACCTGTGCCCTCCATACTGATCCTGAATCATTTAACTTTCTCTGGGAATATCCCACTATTCTTTAATATTGACACTCAGACTTCACATATGTAACTGTGTCATCCCATCCTGCTATATCTGAGAGACATAGGCCCAATCTATTACCAGAAAGGGGGAAAGTCAATTGCATTTATAGCTAAATGCTCTACAAGTCAAAAGGAATGTGAAACATATTTCTGTACTGGTTCCATTGGGTTTCCTCTTAATATGGACATTCCATCTTGAGTGGAAATCCTGATTTCCCTCCTTACCCCACTGCTTCTTATCTTTCTCTTCTCTGTTCCCAACCCCAGGATCCAGTTGTGTGTTGCCATCATCCATGCGCTCAAGTCAGCAATTCCCTTCCATCTCATTTAACCAAAGCAAACACTTAACCTTCTGTCCTTGGTTCTTCAGCACAGAGAATCAATGCTACAAGCCTCTCTTGCCCATTACAGCATAACTTTAAAATGCACTGTGTTATATATCTATCAAATGTTTCACATGACGTTACATAAATGACCTGTACCCACATGCATATGTATAGGAGGAATCAAAAAGCTTAAGTGGATAAAGCCACCGTTTGCCCCCAAAACCCCACTACCCTGAGTAAACTTAAGTAGGGAATCTGAAAAATGAGGAAAGAAGCCTTCACAGACAGGAGAAGATGGCAGAAATGGCAAACACAAAATGGCATATTTCCAGCCCTTCATACAGGACACACCTCCTCAGCACCGACTGTGGGGAGGGTCCACCCAGCATGTGCACAACCATCCACTCCAATTGCACACCAGACCATAACCATTAAAACACACTGAAACAGACCTTCAAGTCTGAAGAGACTTATAAAGCAGTTGTTGCCACAGGGAACATCTTTCAAACTCACAGAGACAATCCCCAGACAGAATTGTCCCAGGTGGGTTGCCTGTAGACGCAGTCTGGTCTGGAGCTGTCTGCCACCTCCAGCTAGGAGACGATCTGACCGCACATAGAAAGAGCACAGAGAGAAAAGGAAGGTGGAGGCAGTCGGGGCCTCCTGTAGAAAGTGAGCCTCTCCCACCTACTTCTTCACCTTTATTTGAAGTCTTCCCTGTTTTGTTTTGTGGCTGTTGAGGAGAGAAAATGTAAATTCAGTTTAGATGATACTGTACGTGTTCAAATGAAGAACCCCACATGCCCCTTCAATTTTGTGTGAAATAGTTTGGAAGAATATTGAGTTCACTATATAGACAAAGAATTATGTAGCCTGCATTACCATCCATTATTCACATACACCATTTGGAAAATTTAACCCAAGCCCAAGCATTTTATCAATGCGATAGGAAAAACTGCCCAAAAGATTATGAAAGGACATTAGCACATGCAGTTTGGAGAAGAAAAAACTACACCTGGAGAGACTAATTTGCCAGGATTACGTGGGTGGCAGATGCAGGATTAGGGTGGGTCATTTGCCCCCTGCCACTGCCACGTTCTATAAAATATCATATACTTCCAGTTGTTTGACATCAAACAGACAATCGATTTGCTTTTCAACAAGTAGCTGTTGCACTATGTAGGCAGTGTGAGAATGACATTTACAAAAACTTATTAGGCATATGAAACTTAACATTCTGAATATAAAACGGAACAGTTGTAGACCTAGTTGTATTTCTCAAACACAGCAATGCTCACATTAGTATAAGTAATTTGGTCAAGCACCAGCTTGAAATCAATCACGCTGCAGACAAGGCTAACAAGAGTTCAGTATGTGCCAAGCACTGGGCATAAAGATGGAAAGAGCTGAGGCCTTGCTCTCAGAATCCTACAATTACACATATCTGTTCACTGCTGCTCGTATTTTGTATCCCTCAGGTCTGCACGTATACAAATAGAAAGATCCCAAAAAAGAACAAAATATTATTTTCACATTTTTCTTTGAATTTGTATAAAATATTTGCCATTATTATCAGCTGTCAGTTAAGTGCACAATTTTAAAACATGTCATATATTCAAAAACGCAAACCGTTATCTAAAGTCCCAAGGTGTAAAGGGACTCTGTCTGCTTTGCTGATTATTCCTAATCTCCTCGACTTCTTAACATCAGAGTGGCCTGAAGTTCAGTCTTCAGACATTTTCTCTCCTATCTGCATTCATTTCCTTAGTGATCTCATCCAATCTCATGGCTTTAAATACCATCTATATGCTGACAATTTGCAAATTTATAACTCCAGCCTAGAACTTTCCCCTTAACCCCAGACTCATACATCTAACTGCCTATTTGACATTTTCACTTGATGTCTAAAAAAAAAGTCCCAGACTTATCACTTCCAAAATCATGGCCTTGATACACTCTTCCTGGAGGTGTATTCATTTCAGTAAATGGCAATTCCATTCTTCTAGTTGCTGAAGTTAAAACTTTGGTGCCACTCTTAACTCCTTTCCTTCCCTATATCCCACAAAAGCTCAGGAAATCCTGGCTCTACTTTAGCAACATAACCTCAGTGCCCATTTGCCAACACTTTGTCCCGATTAGCTCCTGCCAGGATTCCCACTCTTCCTGCTTCCTGGTCTCCCTATTTCCACTTTTGACACCTGCGGTCTCCACCAGGGCAGCAGCTGAGGGGATCATTCTGCTCGTGCACTCAGAGGCCTCCTAGAGTTCCCGTCTCACTCAGATAAAAACCCCAAGTCCTTACAATGATCTCTATGGCCCCACTTTCCACGTTGCTGCCCCTTTCTTCTTTTTCTCTCTTACCTTGTCTTCTCCTCCTGCCTGTCCCCTTCACCACTGAACACCATTGGCTGGAGCACTCAGTGTAGGATTCCTCAGGGCCTTTGCACCTGCTGGTCTCTCTGCCTGGAGGGCTTTACTCCAGAAGCATTCACTTCCTTTAAGTCTTAATTCAAGTGATACCTTTTTCCGCCACCTTATCTAAAATTGCAAACTATATACCAAAACATATACTTACGCACACTTTGTCATCATTCCTTTCTTTAGTCTTCTTGTTAATAATATTTTACTTCTTATCTGTTTCTTTTTTTTTTGTCTTGAGATAGAACAGGGAAATGGGACAAGGGTCATCCATTGTAAAATCCACTTAGCCTGCTAAAAAGGCCCATCTTATTCTTTATCTTAATCTATATGCTGTTCTTCCCTTTCTTCCAGCCCAT